TTTGCTGACAGTCGACCTGGTAGGCACAGGCTTGTGGGTGCTTGCAGGCCTGCTGTTCCTGCTGTGTACATGGTCGACTGTTTGGTTGAGTGTATTCTAGCGGGCATGCAGTCTCACGCCCAGGTTTGCCTGTCGAATCTTACCAGAGCCTTAGCAGGGCGAACAGACAACCCACCCATACTCGTTTATCTGGCTATATCTGACTATACCCTCCTGATGCGGGCTTGCCGGGGGTGACGAGTAACTCATGCTTTGCACGAGGAGATTGTCATGGAATGAACCTTTGTGTCTGTTTCAGTTTTCAAAGTTTACCGCGACATGGGCTGCCAGTGTGTCCCAGTAGTGCCGCAGCCCTTCTTTTCCCAGAGCGCCGAGGCTGCTGCTCCGCTCGTGGGTAAGTAAGTGGCGCCGTAAAGAAGCCCAGCTCCGCGGTGGGGCAGCGTGCAATCCGATGGGGCAGAAGCAGCCGTGGCGCGCCATTTCCGTAACAATGGCTGCTGATTTGGCGCTACAGGCCGCGGGTAATGGCGGGTGGCCCGAGCGCGCTGCTGCACGCTGCGCACCGCCCGCCCGCCCGCGCGCACAGATACATGCGGACAATAAAATTGCTTCCATCCGATTTTCCAGGGAAATGCAGCTGCTGCCTGCGTGTGCTACCAGAGCCCGCGCCTATCCACACGAGCCGCGCCCGCCGCCACCGCCCGGCCGGCCCGGTGCGCCGCGGAGGTCGGCCACCCATCCGCCAGTCGGACCGGCGAGCTGCAGCCAGGCTGCGGCCGCGCCGCGGATCGTCGTCGTCGAACAAGGGTATGTGTACTCTGACCCATAATTGGAATACGTTTCCCTGCAAGCTTCGTGTAGTCGACAATGAAGCGATGAAGTGCGCCCGCCCCGGTGCTACTGATGCTGCCCCCGGGTCCACGGCGTGCTGGGCCGGCTCCCTGGCGGCCGGCTTCTGGTGGCTTTCGCCTCCCCTTTCCTGGCCCCTGCCTTCCCTACTTATATTTACGACTCGGGAGGGCGTCTAGAGCCAGGGTAGTGGTAGTGGAAACGCGCCGGAATTCGAAAGAAATCGAATCTGTTCGCCGCTCTCCGGCCTCACTCAAACTGCGCTCCTTGTGCCCCATCCCCCGGCCGCCCCCACCCTCACGACCCCCTGCCCGGGAGGCCAGCCCACCCTGCTCGCCTCGCACTGGCCTCGTCGTATTTCCTCTTTAACTAGATTTGTGTGCCGGTCGGCCAACATATTTTTGGCGTTCCGCTTCGACGAAATATCGCGAGAGCAGCGGCCCCGATAAACACTGCGGAAGCCCCGGCGGAGTTGTGATCAAGAGGGGCGGGCGTTAATAAGGGCTGATAACTGATTCAAGGAGGATTAAACGGAGTGGTGTGTTCGACCCACGGCCTGTCGTGGAACATTTGTTTCCTTTTCACCCCCCTCACCAATACTCCAAAAGTTGGTGTTGCTGGAATGAGATCTTCATGACCATTTTCCTTTACAACATTGTCACCACATATATGTTTGCGTATGATGATTGTCACTCCCACTCCCATTTTTTCCAGTACATGCGGCGTGAAAAGTATCCGTGTTGACATGGTTGTATTATTTATACTACTGTACAAATAAGCTATGAAAAAAAAATCACCGTTTAAGGACAGTTTTTTTTCACAGTGCTGACGGGCCGAGGAGTCCGGGGTCGCGCCTCTCGGCCCCGGGTGAAAAAAAAGGGAACGGTGGGGGACTATCTTTGGCAATGACTCCAACTTCTTTACACGGGTGCCGCCGCCGTGCCTCCCACATGACGCTTCCGCCGGAGCACGCCGCCACGGTCGCGGCATTTTTCTTTTCTGCGCGAAAAATCTTCTTGGCGGCGGCGGCGGTGGTTGTGGTGGTGGAAAGTTTGCGCGGGCGCGGCGTGCGGCGCGCGGTTTGGCAGACGCCTCATTGATATTCGAAAAGAGCGCGCGAGGGCGTCGCATCACGCCACCGCCATCTTGAATTCGACAACGGAAATCACATTTTTAGATTTGAAGATTTTTTTCCCCCTTCCTTTTAGTTGTTCCTTTTTTTTTTCGGTCCTCTCCATCCCTCTCTTTTTCCTCTCCGTCCCCATCTCCCACGTTTCTCTCTCTCTCGGCGGCCCCGCCCCTGGACTGCTAATGGCCGAGCGCTGTGCGCCCGCCGGACCGCAAGGCGCCGCTGCTCTGCCTGCGCCGCGCTGCGCCCGCTGGGCCGCCGTGCCGCCTCGGCTGCCGCGCGGACTGCCTACGCCGCGGGCGCCCCCGGCCTGGCGCGGGCCGGTGGCGGCGGTCATCGTCGGTCCATCTGCGGGTTCATAAAACGACTCGGGCGGCAGTAAGGCTCCGTCGCGGTCGGCTCCCCACTCTACCCCTCTCTCCCCCGCCGCCCAGTGGTGCTCCCCTGCTGCTGCTTTCCCCTTCTTCGCCCCAACGGCAACTTGAGCAGTTTCAGACGCGCGATTGGGCGAAAAAGTTTGCAAAGCGCGGCCCTTTTCGCTTCCTCCTCTTTTTCTTTTCGCAGTCCGATCATCAGGAGATGAGCTCGCTGTACATTATGGACTTGTTTCGCTCCCCCGCTCCCCTCCACCCCGCGCCCGGCTGTTTCACGATTGAAAGGCGCGTGCGATGGATCGTCCCGCAGCTACTTTTCCGCATCTCGCGTCGCGCGAACTGTGTGTTTTTTCTCTCTCTCTTTTGGTGTTTGGAGGGCGGGAGTCTGCGGCCTCCGGGGGGAACGGAAGGAGAGGGGAGGGGCGTGTAGGGTTGTTGCTCCCGTCACGCGACACGAGCCCGTCACACACTGTCCCCGGGACGTTGTTCTCGCCGCACGTGTTTTCGGCAATCTGTTTCCTGTCGCTTGTCCCCTCTGTGCGTGTGTGTATGTGTGTGTGAGAGAGAGAGAGAGAGAGAGAGAGAGAGAGAGAGAGAGACCTTGTGTGACGAGCCCTTCATACATGCATCACACGACCCCCGGACAGAGCAGAGGCATCGGATCTCGTTAGCCTCAGCTTGTTAAAACCGCGTTTTTAAAAAATCGCCCGGCTGATGTGTCCGGCTGGAAATGGAACGGCACGGGACAAGCTCCGGGCGCGTGTAGCTATCGTATCGGGCCGAAGGGTGCGTGACGAATGACCCAGGCTCCGCGGGGGGGTCGTCGGTGCCGCGGGGCTTAAGTCGCACCCGCCCGGCGGCCTTGGGGCGACCCCTTTATGACACCCGCTCGCCCCTTCAAATGGAAACAATAAAATACGGAAACGGCACCGGAAACCTTGCCCCCCTTTGCCCCTCTTTCCTGCCTTTCCCCCGCTGAGCTCCTCCATCTACCCTTTCCCCACTCCTGTACTCTGGCTTTGAAAAGCTTTCTGCGGGGAGGTTTGATATGGACAATGGCGGGGCAGGGGGGCGCGGCGGAACGTCCGAAAGGAGATCCGCTGACAGCCGCGTCAGTTAAGCCGCGAAGCTAAAACTTTTTTTTCTGCCCCTCCTCTGCCTTTTCGGTCGAAATAATAAAGTCCGTTCCGACCAGCACAAAGCGGGCGACGGGAAGGACCAAACACGCGGCGTGTAATAATTTGTTAAGGGTTCGAGCCGGTCGTTACTCACGATGCAAAAGCCATTAGTGCCACGCTGTCCCGGCGCGCCTGCTGCTGGCAGTGATTTCCCCGGCGGGATAGGAGAGAGAGAGGGTTCCGGCGGGGGACCGGCGCGAGGACAAGGAATATTTGGCGTTGATAAGGAACGTGGACTTGTAATTGACTAACCGGAAAAGAGTGATGAGAAGCTGCAGCGGCCAGCCCGCCGCC